TTTTTCCCTTTTTTTCCCTTTTTTTTTCCTCCCATTTTTTTCCGTTTCATCCTTTTTTTATTATAATAGTCCTCCATCCCTTCGATCGAGTATACACACACACACATACACACACACATACACACACATCCACACATATCTCGATACCGTAGTAATCGTTTCGAGAGACTATGGCTATGGCTAGCTAGCGGAAGGAGCGCGCGGGTGTAGCGTGGGAAGCAGATTGATGTAAGCTTCCTAGTCGAGGAGAGTACCTAGTTGAGAGTGTGTTGTTGTTGTTGTTGTTGTTGTATTTATTTACGTCGGGCGGGTAGCAGGCGAAGCCTGCCGCCCTGGGACCTCCCATGGGGTACGGCGACGTGCTAAGCTAAGGAGTTACATACAAGAAGGCCCCAGAAAGCAATTCATAGTGCTGTAGCGAGGGCTACTGTCGCATGCGCCCTTCCCCTACAGATAGGATGGATCACATAGAAAGAAACCTTTCATCAAGGGAAAACCACAAAAGAAGGGTTAAGCAGGTACAGACTGCTGTAGCTAGCCAGAAGCGAGCTGTTCAAGTCGCATAGCGACGGGGGTCGAGGCCGGACCGGAGTCAGCCGAGTTGAGAGTGTGGAGTGGAGAAAAGGAGAGAGAAGGCGTGATTCGTGGATGGTAGAGAAATCTTCGGCTTGTGTATTTAAAGGAAAAGAGAGAGAAGTCGTAATTCATCATTTATAAGAAATCTTCGGCTTATATATTCAAACGCAAAGAGGTCGGTCGTACGAGAGCTTTCGTTAGCTATTCTATACAATTTGCAAGATTGATAAACGTTTATAAGCTTGCACCGGCGTAAAAATAGTTCGATTTTGCAGGCCTTTAGAATAAGTAATGTAGCTTTCACCAATCAGAATATGCATCGATCTACCAGCATATCCATCTATCTATATTTCTCAGATTACGCACGCTTTTCTCTATCTCATCTACATTCGCTTCGCTTCATTTCTGACTATCAATCGCCTCTTTCTTCCAGGACATCCTCTCCGCTCAAGCCCACTTCCCAAGGACGGCCATGAGCCCCGCACCCATACACATGCACCCATAGGCGAAGAGCACCATCTTCATCGAACTCTTCCGCATCTCGACGCTAAACATAAACTCGTGAGCCATCAGCTCCACCAGTCCCGTGTAGATCAAAATCCCCGCACTGATAGAGTCAAAGACACCCTGGATAACCAGCGTCTCGGGACTCTCCGGCTTGAAGCTGCTCCGCACCCCGAGACCGATAGCGATGGCGATTGGCGTCGTGATGCCGAATGCAGAGCCAAGAACCCATGGCATCCAGGACTTGGATCTCGGCCAGCTGGCAGTGGCGAGGCGGGAACCGAGACCGAGGCCTTCGAATGTCTGATGGAAGGCGAGCACGGTGTAGAGGACGGTGAACTCGTCGCCCGTCACGGCGAGCGTGAGGCCGATGAAGATGGAGTGGAAGATGACGCCGAACTCGAGGATGAAGATGCTGGTCATCTGGGCCGCGAATCTCTCGTGCTCGTCGGAATGAGAGCGGCTGTGTCCCAGGTGGTCCTCGCCTCCGGGGGGGTAGCTGAAGTCGTCTTCGCGGCCTGGAACGCCGCTGTTGGCGAGGACCTGAGTCGGTGGTGCATGGCTTGAACTGGCTTCCGAGACCCTTTGCACGACAGGCGTTGTTGACTCTTTGCTGTGAGCGTGCAATGGCCGCGCGATTTCTGCCTCGCCGCTCTTTTCCAAGTCTCGTAACAACTTCTTGGCTGGATCGATCGCTTCGGGGTCGTGATCATGGGTGCCAAAGACGTCGAAGCGAGAGACCATGAGCTCAATGAAGAACAAGACGAAGATGGTCATCAAGACAATACCCTCGACCCACGAGTACTCTGTTATTGTGCCTGTCAGACAAGGGGACTTGAGCGCCTCCTGCGCTGGAGAGAGAAGCTACACGGCGTTAGGTGTTTTGTGCACGGTGATATCCCAGAGAGGTATACGTACATGTATGAAAGCCGTCGCAACGATCACGCCCGAGCCAAAGTACTTGGCTACGAAGAAAGCCATGGGGGGGACATGCATGCGTCTCGTCCTCGCCAGGGCAATTGGCAACAGGGCACCTACATCAATGTTAGCATCAAGCATCAAGCATCAGCATCAGCATCAGCATCAGCGCCACTGGCGTGTAAGTAACCCGAACTTCCATGTTCGTGGCACGTACCCAGAAAAGAGCCGAATCCGATCACGAAGATGGAGGATATCCTCAAGCCCATGCGCCCATCAAAGTCATTTCCGCTGCCGCACTCGATGGTGATGGTGTCTGGAACGATCATGACTGCTGGCGGCCTGCTGCTCGTGAGCCTCTATACACACCAATACTCTTGATCTATTTTGAAGCTGGACTCGGGATGGACTCGAGATGGACTCGAGATTTGGAGGGAGGGAGTTTTCGTGAGAATCAGTAGTTTGTGGGAGAGGAGGGAAGTGCTAGCTAGGCGAGTCGATGGTTCGTTCGGTTGTTGGTTAGGCCGTTGCTAGGTTATTCTGATGATGGAGATGATCGAGACGAGTCGAGACGAGACGAGTTTTGAAGAAAGGGGAGAAGAGAGGACGAAGGGGAGAAGGGAGAAGAAGGGAAGAAGGGAAGAAGGGAAGAAGAGACGAAGGGAAGACCGAGAGAAAAGAAGAGAAGCCAAGAAGTAAAAGCTTTTCACGAGAAAATTGGCGCAGGCGCAGACACGGGGGAAGGTGCAGACCGACTTGGACTGGACCGGACCGGACTGGACTTTTTGAGGACCTTGTGAGGTACCTGTACCCAGTGAGCAGCAGATCTACCGGTCTACCGTATCGGATCGTCCTCTGTAGACACACGCACAAGAGCACCGTCACCATGACACAACCACTCCGCTCGGAGAGTCTAATGGAAGAAGTAGATCACGAGAGGAGTAAGTGTCCACGAGAGAAAAAAGAGAGCAGAAGAGAAGATGGAGGAGAAAAAGAGAGCGAGACATGCATAAACACCATAAATATCCATAAGACATATCTCTCCGTATGTGACCATGAACGAGTAAGAACACATCAAATGACGTCCATAGAGAAACCACCGACCTAGGTACCGGTACCTCATAGGGCAAAGTGAAAGAAAGAAAGAAAAAGATCCAAACTTCAAAGCCGCCAAAGAAACCTAACCCAACCTTGTTGGATACCGACCCGAGCGATTTGACCGACCTGACCGACCTCACCGACCCGACCTCACCGACCGCTGTACCTCTCCGGGTAAATGCGGCGAATGAGGATGGAGCCGCCAAGGCCCAGATCCAGGCCAGGGTCCCATGAGCTTGATTTTGGGCGCATGTCTTTTTTTTTCTTTTCGTCTCGTTTCTTTGATTAGGTCATGGGCTGTCTCACGTGACACGGATCCAGATCCTGTCGTGTTGGCAATACCAATCGCAGTACCAATACCATGTACGATGTTACGGTTACACTCGCATGGTCTGTATCACGGTTACCACATGCCGGACTAGATTAGATCAGACCAGAGCAGGCTAGGTCGGCTGGGCCAGGTACAGGTAAAGGTTACACGGATGATGATCGTGATCGTGATCGTGATCGTGATTATCGTGATCGTCGTCCGACAGGTGTACCGGTAGTAGCATGGACAGACAGACTGCTAGCGAGGTGTATGCGTTATATGTATGAGTATGTGAATATGTATATGTGCGTGTGTATATGTATGTGTACATATATGTGTATGTGTGTGTGTATATGTATACGTGTATAAGAATGGACTACATATAAACCACCAAGACCAAGCAAGAGAAGAAATACCACCCCCGAACCCATTAAAAAGACAAAAAAAAGAAGAGAAGAGGAAAATTAGTAGAAAAAAAAAAGAAAAGCAAGAAAAGGAGAAGAAGAAAACCCCCCCATTATTTCCAACCGCCTGCTCTTTCAAACTATTTCTCCTCCCCATCTCGCCCCAACACCTCCTTCTCCACGAGCGTGCCCTCATCTTCCCGCTCCCCCTCGCCCTCGCTATCCCCCTCGCTCTCGCCCCATCCATACTTCTCGCTCCCAGTCGGCGTGCCCAGATACAGCACCTCATCACCATCCTCCTCTCCCAGTCTTCCTCCCTCCTCCTCTCCCTCAACGCGATCGCCCACCCCCCCACCATTAACCGCTCTCCAGGCCCACTCCAGCTCTCTTCTCGTCCGCCCATCAACCAAGCTGCAGCAAAACTCAAACTTCTCCGGCTTCGCAATCAGTAGGCTCGTGTAGTTCATAATATCCAGCTCTTCCTCTTCTTCCTCCCCCCCCTTCATCCCATCATCACCCTTCTTCTGCTGCTGCTGCTTCTTCTTCTTCTTCTTGGAAAAGTCAAACGCCCACGCCAGCCCGCCCATCACGAGGAAGAGCTCCTGCTCGACAATCTCGATGCCCGTGCACGTGCGCCGCCCGAATCCGAACTGTGTGTGCGTTTTCAGGTTGGGGTACACGGTGAGCGGGGCGCGGAAGGTCGGGAAGGACGGGTCGAGGTAGCGGGCCGGGTTGAATTCTTCGGGCGATGGATAGGTGAGGGGATCCCGGGTCATAGCCCACTCGAGGGCGTGGATAGTGGCGCCGGCGGGGATGTGGTAGCCGTTGTAGACGTCGTCCTTCTCGAGGCGGTGGGGGATCCCTGGTCTCGTCAGTACATACCCTCCACCAGCAATACTTGAGCCAGGCAAGGAAAGAGACAAGTGGAAGGAGTGGTGCGGGCGAAGAAGGAGAAGAGGCAGCAACATACCAGTAGGCACAGGCGGCCTCCATCTCACCACCTCCTTGACTACCGCTCTCAACAGCGGCAACTGTTCCCGATCTTGCCACTCTGGCGCCCGATCCCCAATACACGCCCTCATCTCCTCTCGCAGCTTTGCCTGCCACTCGGGGTAGCAGCACATGGCGAGGATGTAGCTCTGCAGCGGGCTCCCGGCCGTCAGTGCGCCCGCGATGGCCATCATGCCTATGACTGTTCGACACCAGAGAGTCAGAAGGTGCCTGAATAGAGGAGGCTTCGGGGATCGGGTGGGATCTCTTGCGACAGGAACGAAAAAGGTACATACGGTACTGGCCCTCCTCCTCAGGCATTCCGTGATTGTCTTTCGTCTCGAGGAAGACCTTCATGTAGCTATCCATGGCCGTGCCTTTGGCCACCGCGCTCTTGACGGAGTTGATGCAGTGCTCAAAGAACTTCCTTTCACGGAGATGTCTCGCGTTCTCGACTTGTTGCCATGGACTCAACCAGGCAGGGAGGTACGAGAGCGGGGAGACGATGTTCGGAACTGCACCAGAGGGAGAAATGGTTTGCAAGAGGCCGAAAGTGCCGACTCGGAGTTCGTCCGCGAAGTGCGGGGAGCCCCAGGAGAGCCGCGAGATAGTGCGGCTGGTGTATTGCTCAATGTGTCCGATGTAGTCCGAGGGAGTGCGGCTCATATGGTAGAGGAGGCGCTTACTCTCTATGGCAGGGTAGTTGTAAAGGGACTCGCTAGAGGGGCGGGCCATGACTTGGTGGCAGACTTTGCGTTGGCGTTTCCATGTTTCTGTATGGTATGAGAATGCGTGTGCATAAGAATGTGTGTATGGAAATTTGATGACAGGTGGGGTGGTGACTTACCCGTTCGCCCTAGGAGGGCGAGATAGTCGCCCGAAGTTCTGTTGTCAGGCAGATTGGGGATGACGGGACGGTCAGAGTAGATGGCACTGCGTTTGGAGAGCAGGTCGTGGGCCATCTCTTCTGATGAGATCCAAACGTGTACAGAGCCAAAGATCTCCATTTGGTATATTGGGCCATACACTTTCGACCAGTCGTAGAACTTCAACCATGTCGCTACACTGGGAACATCGTGGACACGGCCGATAAATGGTAGACCTGAGGCATAATAGTGATTAGGAATACGGTCTGTCTAATGCGAAGCTTGGTAGATGGAAAATACCTCTGGGTCCAGGAAGTGGCCGCGTGCCAAGCGGGACCTTTTTCCCCCTGGACGCAATAACACCATAGTAAACAATAATAAGAAAGAGTGATAGAACTGCAAGCACAGAAAAGGACACCATAATGAGAGGAAGCTCGGTCAATCACCTAAGGCAGATTTGGAACTGCGAGAGGATGTGCCCACATCTTTCTTCCCAACCTGGGGGCTTTATATTGAAAGCTGTGATAGCAGTCTCACGACGCCCGTCCTCCGGGCCAGACGCCTCCCATGCATCGCAACATCGGTCTGGACTCCGTGGACATGAAACTGGGGATGTCCGTGGAATATAGCAAGACGTTCTTCATCCCGATCGCTGGATAAGACATATGAGATAAAATGTACGTGAACTGGTTGGGCTGGTTGGATTGCTGCCGATGCGGCCTTGGCTTGGTCTTGCCGTCGTAGCCCGCGTGCTCCGTTCGATCAACACAGACGTTGGCAGAAATAACTTGCAGAGATTGGATATGTTTGATAGACTGACAGACTTTGGCACAGATCGGTTTACGATGTAGAGAGACGATCATGGAGTACATATGCATCTTGGCATCGAAGCAGCGCTAATCAAGCAGAATACCGAGCCTTGCATGCAGGATAAGCTAATTCGTGACGACGGACAGCATCAACCTCGAGACAATGAACGCCAATCGGCCTTTGGGACTGACAGATAGTCGACATCTAGAACGGGATGCAGCTACGTACTGTAGTAGTATTTGTAATGCAGCAGATACCGTACAAACTGGTGTAGATGCGTCTTTGACAAGCCATGCGCGGTGAAGCCAGCCAAATAGAAAAGCGAGACAAAAGGACTACTCAGCCAGCAGAATCCAACGTCGAGAAACTTGTAAAGTGTAAAGGTCAGGAATCAAGCGAATTTGAATCTTTGCATTCCGTCTTTAATTCCAACGTGATAACTTCAAAAATCAATCGCAGTCAAGTCTGTCGGTACATCAATATCGACCGTCGGTGGTTGAAGGAAGTGGCAAGTTCGCGTATCTCAGGCCCGGTCGCCGGTGGCAACCGTTCGTATCTCCGTATCGCTAGCGTGCAACGCACGTAGCTTCTTGAAATTGCAAAAAAAACAGGTAAAAATGACACTGGATTTCTGTCTACTCTCCAACTTTTAGGGGAGCTGACTCCTTCTATTCGATTAAAATGAATCACGCACTAGCTATATAATAGTGATTCTATCGAAGTTGGGGGTTTCCTGAAGGCGTGCCAGGCTAAGCGAGGTACCAGTATGCTCACCCGTGCTTGAGATACCTCCGGTACCCGAACCTGCCACCTCACCCAACTACGTCAGGTCGATACTGACATACCGACACTCGGCCTTAACGTCTTTGTCGCTTTCGTAACGAGCTTTATTTTACGATCTTGGTATATCAATCAATTTAGCGTTCTTTCATTGAAAAGCCTCGTATATTATGCTTTGCTTTTTAATCAGATCTAATAGATCTTTTTTCCGCGATTGCTCGTATTCGTTATATTCCATCCATTTAAAATCTACACTCTGATCGTTATTTTAAGTATCGTCGATTGCTCGATATTCATATCCTTTTATCGCTTTATTACGAATATTCTAGTCTCTTATCAATACGTTAAGTAGATCGTAGATGTACAATAGATGGTTTTCGCTGCCCGGTACAGGCCTAAGTGTGACAGCCTGAAAAAGTCTCAATCTCCACTTTATACCTCCTAGTTACCCTACTCAGGGTGTGACACTTACGCCTGTGACGTCATATATGTGTATGGCCAAAGCTCGCTTTGATACTTGGCATTTCTGAGTCATCAATTCCTGCTAATCGGCCACTTGTCGCCGTTGCCCGTCCCCGCCACGCACGCCTTGCCAAGGACTCATTGACACTACCTAGTCTACACGGTATCTATACACGGTATCTGCCTCAAAGCAGGCCCCTCCGCAAAGCCATTTGTTGATCGTGCCAAAGCGATCGCTAATGTAACATACGCATGTAGCACAGGGAAGCGAAGCAGAGGTTCGGGGGCTGAGTATGTTCAACTCGAGCCGCTGAGGTCCAGGAATGGAAAACGACACGAAGAAACCACTACCTGAAGGAGTACTTGTAGCTAGAGAGTTGGGGAGAATAGAAAATAAGCGAAAAAATTACAGATTCAGTCCTGTGGTGTCCAGCCTGAAATGAGAGAACAAATTTGTCATACAGCAACTGGCGTAATTCTTCAATCCCAACAAGATGGCGTTGTTAGAAGCGTCTGACAGCTCAGCATTGACCTCATCCTGTGTGGACCACCGGGTCCGTATAGCTAAAGCTCAGGAGAAGAGCTTCAGACGGGATGGATCACCCGATCAGGCTAGATTGGGTCGTGCTGTATGCCATACCGCACCATGCACACATGCATGGCAGCGAGTATAACCGCCTGACGACTTTGCACTCAAGGAAAGGGAGCGAACAGCTTGCTCGCTTTACGCGAATAGTAGCAGAAGACCTTTAGTACTGAGAAGAAAAGGCCAAAACATTAATATTGCATGACGTGGCCATGCTTTGGATCCAGATTCTATGCTGGACTTGTAGCCCTCTCTCCACAAGATTCATCGGCTCTTTCCGACTTGAGGCCCTAGAACACAGTGCATACCTCCGATTGAGTTCTGGCAGATGCAGGGTGGCCCCGAGGTGCTTGAAAGTCCTCACACTAGGGAAGGAGGCCTGTTCGCCAAAGATCTCACAGTACAGCCATGTTCGGAGGAACCCAAGCGCTTAACAGCCGCGCAATACAGAACCAAGCCTGCAGGGATAAAGTCAGAAAATAAGGAAGCGCAAGAGGGAGACGAGTGCCCGGCAGCCAAAATAGAGATAGACAGATTGAAGTAATTGTGAGTATACCTCTATTTTAACCCTCGAGCGGGCATCCAGCTTTGCCGGATCTTGCTGAGGGTGTTCGGCCATTCCGACATACCATCACCACTCTATCATGTGGTGTAACAAAGGTAGGCCGGCCTGGCGAAGCGTAGAGTGCCGAGTCGGGCATGTTTGAAAGGACGGGTGGCTTCGACTGCTGAAGACGATCAGATCATTGATATGCAAGCCGTCGAATGTTTCAAGTGCTTTGCCAGATTTTCCTGGCATTCCGTCGAACAAAATGGAATTCTTTCGGCCAGCAATCTTAAAACCGGCTCGCTGCAACAGAGAGGGGGCAGCGCTGATCTCAGCATTGTCGGTCTGTTCGCCATTTGAAAATACGCCAAATACGTCGAAGCCAAAGGAGGGCCTCTCTTCAGCGGCCAAGTCGAATCCATTTCTCTCAGACGTCCCTTGTAGTTTTTGTTCAAGTTCCGACCGGTAGCTCATGGTTGCTGGTCATTCCTCCACGAATCGAACCAGGACCAGAGCCGCCAGCCATTCCCGTCTCACGAAGAGTATTGCAGCTCCAACCCAATAGCCCTAAAAGGCTGATCTCTCCTCTTCATATCAATCGACGTACCAAGCGTAAACAGCAGATCCTTAATCCTACCCTCCCACAGCAAGCCAAATTTCCAGTTCTGATCAACGCGAGCCTTCAACACCCCAGCAACCACGTCTGGTTCCGGCACGGGATTCTCCTCGACAGGATCAAGTCTCCATTCGAGCTTTGCTTCCCAGCTCCGTACCTTCTCTTTTGGAACTTCGGGTTTCATCTTCCATAGCTCGCACCCAAGCATCACGTCGCTTTCGTAGCTGTACACATTAAAGTCGAATTTCGAGCATAGGCCTAAGTTCTTGCCCGCTTTTACTGCGTAAGTCGTGCTTAAGTTTCCCATGAGTGGGTTCAACGTGAGAGTTGCAGTCAAAGGGACACCTTTATGCGCAGGTAGTGTGGCGAACCGTCCGCCAAAGCTCATACCGCCAGACTTGTTCAAAGACCCGTAGTACATCTCCGCCCCTGCACTGAACCGTCCATAAAACCGATCATCGGTCCTAGGCAGCTCAGTAATCTCCTTCCTCGGATCTGGGCCAAAATTGTACAGTCCTCGAAGTCCAATGAGACCACCATCTGTCGAATACAGTGTATCTGCACTATACTTCCCAACATCATATTGATACAGCGCCAAAACTGTCCCACCATTTCGTAGACGGCTATCGCTGACAGCCGAAAGCCTCAGCTGCGAAGTTGGGCTCAGACGACGTAGGTATAAAGCTTCAAGTGTGCTTTGTGGTAGGTAGAGCCGTCCATAGAGTAGGGAGTCGCGCTTGTCTATCCGCTTCCCACCTTGCCATTGCTCCCACATCCATGACTCCTCCTGTTTCCGCAGTTCTTGGATCTGTCTATAACCCCTTATGACATTGTGAAGCTCGATTTGCCCGCTTTGGGACGTGGTGTGTAGAGGCAGAGAAGTGTACAGGTAAGAGAGTGAGCCGTCGACCAGCCCAACGCTGCCAATGGCGTATGAGGTCGCGAAATTTGGAGACGAAAGAGAGGATAGATTGAATTTCAATCCGCGGGGAGTCTCGAATTCCAGGAGAGCTAAAATTCCGCATAAGCAGATAGCAAGTTGGGGCTTCGGGAAGGAATGCCATGCTTACCTCTGGCTGTAGCCGTAAGATGAGAATAGGAATTTTCGAGGTTCCAGTGAGACGCATGATAAAATGCATGCTGCACATAATCCATGAACTCCAACATGCCGAAAAGAAAAGCAAAGTCGTCAAGTAAACGTAGCTCGAGGTATCACGTTCTCGTCTAAGTTTGCGCAACTTGACCTTGAACTAAAACTAGGCACGGAACAGCGCGGCCGCTAGCGAATCTCCAGAAAATTACTTATCGTTATCGAGTTTCTTCATATTTTATCTTCAGGCATTTCCCCCACAGAAATCTTTAAACACACATCCTCCCTCAAAATGCCGAAATCAAAGCGCGCGAAAGTTGTGCACCTATCACAGGTGCAGAAGAAAGGGAAGGAACTCACGCTCAAGCTCTTCGCCAACGTGCGCGAATGCCTCGACGAGTACCAGCACTGCTTCGTCTTCAGGGTCGACAATATGCGCAACACCTACCTGAAGGCTGTGCGCAACGATTTCCAGGACAGCAGGTAAGACCCTCCTGTCTTTCTTCCGCCCACATATCTGTGAAAAAATCATGGACAGCGCGACTGGGGGAAAACAGCAGTGTTAATCGTACCTTGCGTCAGACTCTTTTTCGGCAAGACCAAAGTTATGGCCAAAGCCCTGGGCAGCACCCCCGAAGACGAATACCAGCCCTCCACGCACCTCCTGTCCAAGTACTTGACCGGCAACGTGGGCCTGCTCTTCACCAATCGTGAACCCTCCGCTGTTAAAGAATACTTCTCGCAGATGGCCAAGACGGACTTTGCGCGCGCAGGCACGACAGCTACGAGATCGTTCGAGATCCCCGCGGGTGTTGTTTACTCGATGGGTGGAGAGATTGATCAAGAACAGGATGTACCTATGGCTCATAGTTTGGAACCGGAGTTGAGGAAGTTGAATGTGCCGACGAGCTTGACGAAGGGGAAGATTACGCTGGAGAACCCGTATTTGGTGTGCAAAGAGGGGCATGTGCTGGATAGTCGGCAGACGAGGTTGTTGAAATTATTTGGTGTTGCTACTTCAGAGTTCACTGTTCAATTGGTCGCGTATGTTGTTCCACTCCTCTACCCAGGAACTAGGAAGAAGGCTAACGATACGCAGATACTGGAGCGCAGCTACGCATGAAATAATCGAAGTTGGGGAATTGGAGGAGTAGAGTAAAGCAAGGTACTGCTCGAACCTTGTTTTCTTCCATATTATACAGGTCCAGGGAAAACTATTAGGCGTTCGTTTTAGGGCACTACCATCGGAAACCAAAGAGCACGAATTTTGATGCCTGAGCTACCTCTAATACCCACCCCATGCCCGCGAAATTCGTGATAGTACAAACAAGAATCCCTTGAGAATCAAGGTCAGATGTCAGACGGTGCATGCCTTCCTTACCTCTGACTTTACCTGCCAACCAGCCAGCCAAATCGAAACATTTTTGTGCCCAACCAAAGCAATGAATACAAGTTGTGAAAGTATCCTCGAGTGTTCTCATGCCTATGCATGCTGTCGATGAGTGTAATGTGTGTCTGTTGTATTACCATGTGATGAGACAGGAAATGCCTGGGTATCCAGTAAAGTGGGTGTCGAGTGAGGGATTGTTGAATGTAGTGGCTGTTACCTTGGTGGATGATGTCGAGAAACCGCTTACCCCTGCTGCTGAAGGGAAGAAAGACTGATGAAAACCCACCCTCAGACAAACCCGTGACCAAGTTGACCTAGTACCTCCTGAGCTTGCGTGGGTCGCGAGACTCCTCGTAGCCGTTGCTTTCGTACTGGCGTTTACGGGAGTCGTCTTCGCGCGGTCGATCGTAACCAGAGTCTCTGCCGCCATCTCGGCCGCCATCTCGGCCTCCATCCCTACCACCATCTCTGTAGCCATCTCTTGGTCTTACCGGCTCATTGTTGCTTCCGCTCCCGCCTGGTCCACGTCCGCCATACGATGGGCGATCACCACTACGAGAGTAGCCATTGTCGCGTGGATACCCACCTGGGCCACCGTTCCGATCAGGAGAGCCTCCGTAGCCACCTCGAGAAAAGCCGCCGCGGCCTTGAGGACCAGCTGGAGCCCCGGCTGGAGGGTTAGAGTTATATCCGCCTCGGGAGAATCCCGAGCCTTGGTATCCGATACCTCCTCGTCCGCCACCACCACCACCATATCCTCCTCTATCTTGGAAACCACCGCCTCCGCGAAACCCACCGCCGCCTCGTCCTCTGTCGAAACCTCCACGGAACCCACCTCCTCTAAATCCACCAGGTCCCCCAGGTCCAGGCGGGCCACCAAAGCCGGGTCCAGTAGGTCTTGGTGGTGCAGCTTTGGTGTAGCCACGCCCGCCTAGTCCCCCACCCAAGCGCCGAGGAAGCCATCCACGGACAGTTTTAGCTCTTTGGACCTATTCCGAGTCAGTCAAAAGCTCAAACACACAGTACCTGGGCACCTTACATCTACCTTGATCCGGCGATCCTTGATACGAATACCATCACAGTTTTCAAGAGCAGCTATGAAGCGCGAGCAAAACGCATTTGTCAGTCATATTGCCCATACTTGATACCTTTTAAGCTGGGCAGAGATAGTAAAAGAAAAGACAGGCAAGCTTGAGGGCCATCTTAACAAGATTCGATCCGGTAGCGTTGTTGATGGAGTGTGGGGTGGTCATGTTTTACCTCTCATATCCTTCTCTCGCTCAAAGACCACGAATGCATATCCACGATGATTCTTTTTCTTCTTGTTAGGCTTTTCATCTTGGTGGGTGTCAACAACAATTCGAATCTGCACAAAGTTAGTTTGTGAAGTCCGCGAGATGTAGCGAACATACTCTCTCAATTGGGCCAAATCGCGAGAACTCTCTCTCAATATCCTGATCAGTCGCATCATAACTAAGTCGCGCAACGATAAGCGTCTTGAATGCATCGCCCCGAATGTTCGGATCTTCGTCTGGCTTGTCTGTAAAACATTAGCACAAGCTCCGTAGAAGACAAACTAGCCAGAGTTCGGACAAGGTGGCGAAGTTCCAAGGTAAATCGAAACACATTGGGTCGCCCTCACATGTGGCAGGTCCATTCTTGGTCAGGGCTTCCTGGGCAGCTCTCTTTTCCGCCTTGATGCGATCCTTCTTCTGCAACCATGACTCTGTGGGAACGTAGACGTCGGTCTTCTTGTATTCTTCGAGCTGGGGGAGAAAGGAGGCGAGTCCGCTGATGTAAGCTGTCTTTCTGTCCTCGGAGGCGTGGTCAGAGGGAGGCACCCATCGCAGAGGTGGTCGCGGCGCGAAGAGCGCGAGGAGATTGGGAGGGAGTTTATCGGTCATCGCGATGATGACGATGGACGTGGTTGTGGTTGTTGATGTAGTGACAGAAGGAGGGAGGTTGAGCTGAGGAAACGTCGCGTCGCAAAAATTAGGGAGCTGGCATGGCCCGTGCACCGAGTGTGGATTCACCACGAAGCTTGAGCTCAAGGCGAAATCGCAAATTCAGGCCCATCACCGCGCTGGCTAAGTCTCGAAGTCTTTCAAGTTGCGCTTGTCTGGATCCTGGAGAGTCTATTTCCTGAAACATTTACCATGACCGTCTTGGGAATACGGAAGGCTACTACCAGCCAGGTACGTTGAAGCAAACCCCCTTCTCAACAGTCGCTAACAACCTCACAGAATGGCGTTTCTACCTTTATCCTCCAATGCCGGCGTATGGACTTCCACTACTGCGATTATTGGGGCTCCTCCAAAGGCATGAAGTACATCCTCCCTTCCTCCGCTCCATCGACTCGTCCTTTAACACGGAATCCAGCTCCTTCCTCCGCAACTCCCTGGCAAAGTTTGCCGCCGCGAATCCATCAATCGAAATATGCGTCTCTCCCAGACCGAACAAACACCCCGTGATAATCGCGCACTATCTCGGCTCGAATCTCAACCGCCACAAAGCCATTTGCGTGCGGAATCTGGAGAAGGAGCAGATATTGAAGAAGGCGGAACTTCTGAGAGATGCAAACGGAGATAAGCTGAAGAAGATCAAGAAGCCGGTGATGAGTATTAAGGACTCGGTGAGAGGAGTGTGGAGTCCGTATCATGGTGATGGGATGCATGTTTAAGAGGAGGAGTGGTGGTGTTGTATCATACATGTGCATTGTGGGCGTTTGGGACTGGCAGCGATGCGTTTGGCATGAGCTGGCTGTGCGGAAGGCTATGGTCACGGAATGCTCTCTTTACAGCTGCCTATCCTCTGCATTTTTTCCGCTTTGTTCCCCCCTGCGTTTTGTGACTGCAGTCTGTATTTTCTTTTCATAGTCTTGCTGTCTACCATCCTTTTCTTCACTCACTCTCCTCCCCCCCATCGATCAGCAAGTATGCTTCCAGGACTATCAGTCCTACCCGCCTACTACTAGAGTCCACGATAGGAAGTTGAAGGCCTCCCGCAAAGCTCTGTCAAGCGTAGCAAATACCAGATGGAAAGCCTAAAAAATAGGTACTTAGCCTGTGGGACTAGAAGCATTAGCACTATCCCAATGCTAGCATACACCAGTCTCGAGCTTAGCAATCTTTTGAGGTGCGGCTGGACAAGATCCATGAAAGATAAGATGTAGCTTAGCAGCTGCCTGCACACGATGAAAAGCGCTGGCATAGCCCGTTGGTCTGGCCTACAATATATGAATGAAGCTGACAGGCATCTGGGAAATCTTGAACCTTCAAATGAAGCCTGCCCGAGTCTCAAGATGAATTGGAAGCTCGAGTGGGCAGTGGTTACTGGTCACCAAACCACGTTTTCCATGCAGGCCTGCATCTACTTTGGAAAGGACAGTGGTAACCTAGCAATGTCTTCAACGGGTGTCTACTTATTCAGAGTAAGGGACTCTGCTTTTGAAAAGTAGGAAAGCACGTCGACACGAGCAAATCTTTGCTAGCTGGGTAAAGATTAAAATCACAGGCTATGGGCAACGTGAGCAGACTGTCCCTAGCAAAAACCGTCTGTTTTGTCTCTTAGATCTGGGAATGTCGAGCATCGCGAGAAAACTCAAAAACGTGATAATGTATCAATGCCAAGGTCTCACTACCCTCACGTATTCTCATTCCCTACTCCGTTATGAAAGGAGCAGGTGTTGTCACTTCCTATCCCAATTGCCAACTTTCCTTCTGAATCCCCGGCTGTACGTGTTTTCGTTCAGAGCCCTATACTCCTTGAAGCACGATCAATGCAAGGCAGGTCAATAAAGCCAGCCTACCCTCCGCTACCGCTAGCCAAAATCCCCGAGTCAGAAGTCCCTACTTTCGACCTTGAAGAACAGCATCAAGCGCATGGGCTGCTGATTCGTACCTCTACGGTGGCACCTAGCGATCGGTTTCCCAATTTATACATGCCAGGTACAAAAAAAAGAAAAACCACTACAAAACACGATACTATGTACACTCAATTCCAAGAATTGATTGCAAAATCCCGGATTGTAATTAATTTTTTTCTTAATTTTTTTTCCTCTCGAAAGCCATGCTAAAGAGCGAAAGATCAAATACTAAAAGCTGCTAGCAGCAGCTTACTTAAAATTTCGGCTCTGGATGCCCATTCGTAAACCGCCGTCTCGTTCCTGTCATATCAGATCAGATCATATGTTTGTCTGTCTGTCTGTCTGTCGACACGGCAGATAGTTAAGGTACCTCCTTACTTACCTTCCTTCCTCCATCATCTTCCTCCATCATGTTCTGGCTCTTGCACGTCTTCTTGCTCTTGCTTATGCACATCTCTCTCCAAGCTCTCGAGAACAAGCTCTCGAGAATCGAAGCGTGAAGATGAGGCGCAAAGTGTCAGTGAATCAAAACCCGATATCCCTATACTTCTTCAAACATTGTGAAATATCGAGAGAGAGACAGACGGCAACAAGGTACGAACGATTGTTGGGTCCAATATACATATATGTAATACATATACATACAACCTTGCAGCGGAATAAAGTAGTACATGAGCTCATGTCCGCAAGCCAGACAAAAACATCGGCCTCTTTTCGCACACAATAGTTGGTCTATGCGAATCGCATTCTCATGGCCCCTTCAACTCAATCATCAGCACTTAATATTCCCGCCCCCTCCCTCCACCCTATCGGTACCATCGCCGCCGCAACAGTCGAGATCCCCCGCTCCGTAGCCAGCAGGTTAAACTGCGCAGCCGCATTTCTTGTATCCTGGATATCAACCCGGATCCCCAAGCCATTAATAAGCTGCCGCGTCCGAGGCGAGATAGGCCGCATCTCCTTCCCCAGGCCCAAAATCAACAAGTCTGTGAAACGCAGCACCAGATCAGCATTTCGATTTTTTTCACACAACGACCTTGGTTCTTTCTTTCATCTGAATGATTGATGCAAATTGGGATTCGAGGCAGCAGGGCAACAGCACATACCAGGCTTCGGCCACACCAGCCCCAGCAGGCCCCACGACTCCTCGGCCACGTCCCACTGCCCCTTCTCATTCAACATCGTCTTGCCGTCCCCCCACGGCCTCCAGGCAAACGCCTCCCCGCCAACAAGTAGCACCCCCGTACCCCCGCTAATCTTCACCCCGCTATCCAGGTGGAAGCCATCCCACAAACAAGCATCGATGCTCGTGCTCGGCGCCGGCGTGCTGCCCAGCACGTTCAAAGCCCCGAAGTCCGTCTGCGTGTCCTCCGTCGAGGGCGGGCCGCGGTCGTGTTTCTGCGGTTTGGGGGAGGAGAAGTGCCGCTTTGTCTGAGCTGACAGTTGAAGGTTGAACTTGCAGTTGGGGGGAGGAGGTGTGGTGAGTAGACGAGAGGGGCGCGCGAGGTGCGAGAGGCACCGCGAGGGCTGGGGCGAGAAGAGGAAGGTCGAAAGTTCGCGAATTGTTGGGCGGGTGAGGGGATGTAGTGGTGGCATTGTATGGTTATGATAGAGTGTTGGCGGGCGATTGTGTGCTGAGATTGATTGAAGTACGTACTCCGTATGGTTTTCGAATGCTGGATGCTGAAGCTTCGAGAGAGGTCGTCAACGGGGCTATCGCTTACCTAATCAACAGCGACATAGAAATCGTACTAGTATTTGGGTATTGCTTGTCTTCTGCCCTTCCCGAAACAGGAGCAAGAGAGCTTTGTTACCGATGCTCAGTGCGCCGGACAGGTGAGAAATGACTCTTTGTATACCTGCCTGCCTGCCTGCCAATGATAATCATCCCCCTCGTTCTCCCATGAACATAATGATATATACCAAAGACGTAAATAACTTTTATATATTTGTCTCCTGCCTTCCTTCCTTCCTCCCTCCCTTTGTTCCTTCTCCTCTCTTGTCTATATCTTCTCTTTGTCTGCCTAGCCTGTAGGTGCAGCCAGATTTATACAGTTACAATATGTATTTAAATTCGACCTCAATGGGCACATACGACCATAGACTGAGGAGAATTGGGCATCCCGTTCGCTCTGCCATACACAAGCCTCAGATCGGCAGATTAGTAGTTGGGTGGGTGACCACCAGCGAATACCTGCTGTTGTATGTTTTTGGTTGGAGAAGTCTTCGTCAGGACCACGGTAATCGTCGGTTTCCTTAAATTTTAATTCGAAAGAATTGACCGACTTGCTGTAGCAAGTCGGCACCACCAAGGCGGGACACCCAGCAAGGCGGGACAGTAAAATTTGCTCCTTTTTAATAAATAAAAAATCAACCAACTATC